TACTTGAACAAAAAAGTGTTTCATTAATGATTCAAAAGGAGGGCGCTTCGGCCATTACACACAAGAGGGCGCTTCGGCCGTTACAAAAATCAGGGCGCATCGGCCATCATAACTACAGTTACTAAAAAACAGGAAAAAATATACAAGGACATCAAGTTTCTTGGCCTTGGCCACCTTCAACGGCCCCGCTATCGGCATCATCCTCGACGTCCTCAGTGGTCTTCGACTTGGCCGAGCTCCGGAAAAGGTAGTCATCACTCTCGGTCCAGGGCCCGTCCTCCTCGCTCGAGCTCAGGATGGGGGGCTGCCTTTCGGACAGTAGGAGTTTTAACTCCTCTTCGGGGTCCTTCATGATCCGCGGAAGGCCGATACCCCTAGGCTTCAGGTTCTTTACACGCCGGCGGAGGCGACGGTAAACCAACATCTGCATACGCCTCTGGCCGAGGTCGTACCAGACTTCAAACTCCTCTTTCAGGCGGGCTCGGCCAGCTTCCTCCTGAGACCACGCTTCAAAGCGCTCCGCCACGACATTGAAAGTCCAATCGCGCCGGGCCTCGTCCCTCCAGCCCTCAGCCATAAAGAGCTCAACAGCTTTGTCGCCTGCCTCTTCGGCCTGAGCCTTGAGCCTCCCAGCTTCCTCGGCCTTTTCTTCAGCCAACCGACGCGCAGCCGCCTCCCCCTCTAGCTTGGCCTCAGCTGCAACAGCCCTGATCTCAGCTGCATCGGCCTTCTCTTTAAGGGAGCCGACCTCGGATCGAAGAAGCTCCAGGGAAGCCAAGGCCTCATCGGCCGAGGCAGCCTTTTTCTCAGCCTCCCGAAGGCGAGCAATCTCCTCCTCCTGGCGACGGTGTTGTTCCATCAGCATCAAAGCACCCTGTAAAGGAAAAACTAAAGTCAGAAAAGGAAGAGCAAGGCAAGAAAAACTAAGTACAAAATCATACACTTACTTGGACGACGTAGTCCAATCCACCATCGAAGAGGCGCACTTCCTTGCCTTGCCGGCGAAGGTATGCCCTATCCTCGTCAGGAACGGCCTGGAACAGGACGTCATGGCCGGAGACCTTCTCATTGAAGAGGCCCCCCTTCGTCGGGTACCTGACGGTCACCTCGTACAGTCCGGAGGCCAAGTCGCGGCCGCTTCGGGAGCTTGCCTGGACATTCTTGCCAGGAGGCAGAGACGTAGGGACGAGGGCAGCCGACGCCTCATTCAGAGTCAGATCCTCAATCACATGGACATCAGACACCTGCTCTCTTTGAGCCGCAGTTTGCGCATCAGCCGTAGCAGCATCACCAGAAGGCAAACCCTGCTTCGGCCTCTTAGCATCCCGGGCCGGCTTCAACCCGGCTTCGGTCAGGGTCTGCTGACCCTCGGTGGGCCTCTTCTTCTTCTTCTGGGCCGCCGCCTTCTTCGCAGCATCGGCTTGACCCTTGGAGCCGTCGCCCGAACCCTTAGAAGCTTCGGCCTGTTGAGCGGTTTCCATCTCCTTGGCAACTTGCTTCTTGGCCTGGGCCATGAACATTTTACGACTCATGGTGAAGTCTGCAGATGCAAAGAACAAAAAGAGTTAGAAAAACAAGCAGAGAAAATCACAAGGGGAGTCAAGGGAAAGAGATCAACCTTCGGCATCGGCGGGGACACCGAGGTGAGGCCCTTCGGCCTCCTCGAAATAACCAGACATCCTCGGCCACAGTCCACAATCAGGGTCTCCGGGGATGAAGTACCGCATCATCCCAAGGGCAGCAATCTTAAACTCAGTAATGTATTTATCTACACTCCACGGCCCACCCTTCAGGAAGGCCTCCACTTGGGCATCAATCTCAGCACTCCTCGGCGGATTGTGCAGGTTAAAAACACCATTATGACCTTGAGAAGGGAAAAAAACCCCATCGGCCAACTTCACGAAACAAAACTTAGCCTTCCACCCATGAATCGATGAGGGAAGGTCAGTGAATGACCTCTTCTTCGGCAGTTGCTGAAGGGCCGCATAGCCAGCACAGTTCTCATGGCTCCCTCGGCCGATACGGTAAAGGTTCATGAACAAAGCCGTCGTCGGCTCAATCCCCAACTCATCGCATCGAAGGAGGAACCCGACGATAAGGGAGTAGCTGTTTGGGGTTAACAAGGCTGGCGGGAGATCTATCATACCCAGGTATTCCACCAAGAAAGGATGAAGGGGGAACCTCAAACCTTTAGAGAAGCTCATCGGATACACACCAAAGTAACCTGGGGGAGGATTTAGGACGTGGTCCATCGGCTTGGGAGCCCTAACCCGGCCGTAAGGACCCACGTACAGCTGTGCTACTTGATATTCACTTGGCGAACTCTCCGGCTTTATGACGTAGAGGTTGGTCAAATCCAATTGAGAAAGCCCGGAAGCCAAACCTTTACGCCGACGCGATGAGCGTCCCTTCACCACCCCAGAGGACGACGCCCCACCAGGCACAGAGGAAATTGGGGGGGGGGGGCAGGGGATAGCGGCCGATGAAGCATCACCCGCATCATCTCCTCGAAGCTTAGGCCCGGAACTCGCTTCGTCCTCACCTGAGCGGTGAGAACCCGCGTCGTCACTCAAACGTTCCTCGTCCACGGAGGTACGATAGTCTGCAGTATTCTCCATCTCCAATTCAAAGGCTGCCACGATGTCTAGATCCACTTGAGGAGACGCGTCGTCTTCGTCAAAAGGCCGGTCCGATTCGTCCAGAGAGGCTGTCAAATCAATAGGGGAAGGGACGCTACGGCCGTCAGGGAACGGCATAACACCTAAACCTATTCCTAAGGGTAGCTTTCGGATCAAAGTGACTTTCCTAAAGAACACTAGATCTAACACCCTAAGGAGCAAATTATGAAGAAATCAAAGGAAAATTAAGAATATCTAACCTTAGAAGATTTGAAGAAAGCGACGAACACTTGGGAAATCTCGGGACTTTATCTCTCTAGAAAAACTTGGGCAGCAATTCGACAAACAGCAGGGCACGAATGAAGAAGTGGCTTCGGAGTGAGGAGGTATTTATAGAGATCCCCCAACGGTCACTACACGTGGCGCCATCCAATTGGCCCCACCAACGGCCACCTCTCTTCCAACCAATCAAGGGGCGCCAATTCAAAATCACTCAAGCAAGCACCCTTACGGCCCAACTCAGCCTTAACAAAAAACAGCGCATCGGCCGAGTACCACTACGGCCCAAGTACCACAGAGCTTCAAAGCAAGCGTCGGCCCATTCGGCCGAAAAAGGGAACACATCGGCCTAACCCTACGTCCTCACAACGACCCAGAAAACCTTAATAGACCGCTACGGCCTCCTAGGCGCGCATCGTCGACGATAACCCTGGTATCGCGGCCTTCGTCCAAGGGTTCTCCCACAGGGTTACCTTGGACAGGTTCGCCTAAGGGTTGGAATCGCGACTAGCGCATAGGTACCGGATCGGCTCATTACTCCCTTGTGCCTCAGATGCTCTTCGGCCAAAGGAGTGGGGGACTGGGGGACTGTATCGGCCACAAGAAGAGAGAGCGCAACGGCCTTAATATAAAAGGGTGCGCTACGGCTCAATTAAAAAGGATCGCATCGGCTTATTCGCTAGCAGTGCTACGTCCACCAGTACAGGAGGACCGCAACGGCTGCGTACACTGAGAAGACGGCATCGTCCCACCATGACAAAAATTCACAAGTCAAAACGCTTCGGCTGCATAACAAATCAAAGGTGCGCATCGCATCGTCTACATAAGCAGAATCAACCATCTTCATCTCATGAAAATAGGTCTGCGCTACGGCCAAAAGGATAGATGGGAGCTCTTCAACCCCAACAAGATGACAATAAAAGCATGCCAACTTGTCCACACCAAAACTCATCACATCTACAGAGAAGAAAGCGCATCGCCTCGTCTTCGGAGGCACTCCCACAGAGTATGCATCGGCCCGCATCAAGGCTGTGAGTTCCCAAGCGCGCTTCATCTACCTCAAATAAGGGAACCGCTTCATCCAAAATCAAAGCAGGAACTCTTCGGCCATCAAACGCCTTAGACTCACGCAACGGCCAGCCAGGAAGGAACAAGTACTCCCTTTCGCTTCGGCTTCACCTCAGCTCAGAGAGTGGGGGACTCCTGATAGAGTATATGGGCCTGGACCCCATAGCCCACATACTCAATGGCCCAAAAGACACCAGCGAGGCACCCGCATCGGCCAGAGGCACGTACCGTCCAAGAAAGAAGATATCGCCTGAGTTATTTGGATGGCATCGTCCATATGGACCGCATCGTCCATGGACCGCATCGTCCATGGACCGCGTCGTCCATGGACCGCATCGTCCGAACTTCGCCCGGACAGAATGTGTTTTCCTATTTTTTGTACTAAGTGTTGTACTCAGCCCATTAGTGGCCTTATTTCGCCCAAAGAGGGCATGATTATTGTAATGGGCCTCCTAAGCCCAAGGCTAGGGGCCCAGATCCACATTTTTACCTATAAATAGACCCCAAGGGGCTAATTATAGGGGATTCTTTCCAAATTGAGAAATATAATTACTCACTTTCTCTCTCTAGCTCTCACTTCTCTCTAGAATTAAATACTCTATCATCACACTACGACAAAACACACATTTTGCAACACTCTCAAAATGTTACAATAGATAACTAAAGTGTTACAAAAAGACATATGCAACACTTTTGCAAGCGCTACATCAGGTCTCGTTGCATAAAGTGATATGTAACACTTTCCAACATGTTATGCAACACTTAATTTAACTGTTGCATATGTCATCCTTATGCAACACTATTTTGCAACACTTTGTTTAGATACTTAAGCAACACTTATTAGGATATAATGCAACACTAAAACGTTACTTTAAGCAACAATTTTCCTATGCTTATGTAACATATTTATTATATCTTATGCAACATAATCTTTATTTTGTAACATTTAGAGCAATACTTTTTGCAACAACTTTTCAAAAATTGGCAACACTTGTAGAATTATATAAGCAACATTTTTTCTATGGATATGTAGCATGCACATTGTGATGATTTTATTAGTCATGTCAATACAATTACCCAACATGATTTATATCACAAAGAAAGATACAGTGTTTACACTAATCAACATATCAAATTAAAGAATCCAATATATTGTAGTACGGTTAAAAGATACACAGCTTTTAAAAAAATAAAAAATAATCAACTAGATACAAAATCACAACCAAACTAACTAGTCTCCTAATTGAACCAGATAGATGGATCTTTACACATTCACAATTCTTTTCACATTCTCTGATCTCCGTATTGGTTCTGTTATAGTCGAACTCATAACTCTGTCAATATTATTGACACACGACTTATGAATGTCCAATCTGTTTCTTGATAATGTGTCTTCCACACATTATTTTACATGCATCTTTTTGTTGTCTATATATCATCACATAATTCTTCATTTTGACCTACAACAAATAATATAACGGTTAGAGAAACAAATAGATAATAACAAACCACAGTAATATTACACCCATAGAACTCTAATCCTGGAATAACATATCCTTTAGAAAATCTGTGATATTTAATCTAGAATAACACCATATAGCTACTAAAATGTCTATACCTTGTCTGTATTGATATAAACACCCTTGAGCAAAGTTAAACAAGAGTTGTACTGTAAATCAGCCGGTGTAAAATCTGAGCGATGAATTCCAAATTCTGCAAAAAAAGGACAGAAAAAAGGAGGCATGAAATATATGATTTCAATTGGGAGTTATCCCGTTTTGGACTATGACTCTTACTACATTAGGAATTTCAATTTGCTGTAGTGCAGACAACAAAACAGATTTTTCACGTCAACAAATTAAACTTCAGAAAACCTAATTCAATTGTATATCCAACAAACCATTTACTCCTAATAAAAAACATCCAAACAATTAAAAGACAAAATAAATTAAAATGTAAAACTTACCGATTTTGTGGTAGTCTCTTCATAAGACGTTTGTATGTTCTTTCACTAACATTTGGACAGGTAGATTCCTGAAACAAATATAAAAAATTCTTATATACATTATTACATTCTTCAATAAAAAACAAAGAAAACTAATTAGACGAAATAAATAGCATACCAATTTCGCACGAATTCTCGCATAAAACACCCGACTAGTAGTGTGGTTATCTCCCAAAAATTGAAGTTACTCTTGTTACTAGCTTACTGCTCCTAAATGTATAGAAATGAACTTATGTATCATACTTCATTTAATAGACCTGGTACAATTCTACAACTTGACCAACATTCAAAAATACTTTTGTGGAGTCTCTTTCGGTCTGTACCACTCATCTTCAGTGCTAGTCATAAGAATCAACTAGCAATTTCGAGAAAAATATATGGTTCATCACAACCCAAACATAATTGAGACGCGATAGTGTCCTGCACCAATTTATAGTGTCAAAGATGATCGATCAATTGATTGATAATAGTCTAAAATGTAAACATTAAGCTAATAACATTAGGCATCGAGCAAAAAATGGACACGAGTTTTGATTAAATTCATCAAGGTTATTTACTAGACTATAACACCATACTAGATAACTAATTAGGTTAATTAGCAAAAAATGAATTATAAAATTATGATATTTTTAATCAAGAATAATATGCCCATGGTGACTGGGAAACTCCCATTTATGGAATTAGGGCGCTAAATTTGAATCCAGGGCAGATTATAAACCTATTAAAAAATGAAAATAAGAACAGATTCAGTTAAAAGAAGAGATACTTTTGGTTAAGGTGTAATGTGTTTCTTCACAAGTATTTATAAGATAAACTTTTTCACATGCCTTTTCACGTGCTAATAATACATAGAAAGTTAATTACTATCCAATTTATAGTGCATATATAATTTTCACTTTTTGAAAAACATAAAACTTCTAATGACATAATACTCCAGATAAAATAGCAGTAAATTATAAAAAAAATTAACCTTTAGAAGAGCATGTGAAGTCTTTCTCTTGAACAATTCAACTATGATCTTCTAGTCTTCTAATTCTTCAATAAAACATAAGGCTTCAAACATCTTAAACATTGTACATGTGTACAGGAATTCTACTCACGAGTAGGGAAAGATTCGAGAGAATGGCCTAAATTCAAAACCTCATTGAGACATTTTGTCGAACACTTTATAAACATTATAAAGCTAAGAACTTCTAAACTAGAACTCATCGAGATCCATCACAAATTCGAAGCATTTCAAGAAACCCTGTACAAATGTATACACGAAATACAAACTTTTGGGTGACAAAATATTGAAATATCATATACAAAGAATAAGAAGCATATTTACCAATTAAGATATGGTGAAGAAGGAAATTGAGGGTCTGCGGTTGGTGATAAGGAAGCGGCGATAGGCGGCGACGGCGAGATGGCCGGCTCAGGTGTCCGCAGGGTAAGCTTCGCCTCAGGTTACCGCCAAGTCTTCCCTCGTCGCTGTCTCCTCTGGCTTTGTTAGCCGCTAGGGTATTACGGAGTATTTTCATATTTTGTACCCCTATTAATAAAATCTTTAGTACGGAGTACTAGACTACGGAACACATAAAGTTTGGACTTTGGAGTCTTTACGTATATGCTAATTTTTCATTTGTGACTTTTTATTTTATTTTATTTTATTTTATTTTGTGTCATTTTTTTTATTCACATCAGATCTGTTCAGAAAAATTCATATCATAACAGATCAGAAACATTTATACCAGATCATAAAGATTCATATCAAATTAAAATGATTAATATCGGATCAGAAACATTCATATCAGATTATAAATATTCAGATCAGATCAGAAATATTCTTATCAGATCATAAAAATTCAGATATAATTTATTACTCATATTATTATTATTATTATTATTATTATTATTATTATTATTATTATTATTATTATAGTTACATGATTACAATGTAAAAATATAATAAAAAAGCAACACTAACTTTATTTGATAGGTAAACACTTACGGTTCATAATTATAGTTATTAGTTAATGCAACTTTTACGAATAAATGTTACATAAAAGTTAAGCATATGCAATACTTTCAATTAAGTGTTGCATATTTTTGTAATTTAAACGTTTATGCAATACTTATAAAAAGTGTTGCATTATTTTACCTCAAAATGTTATATGCAACACAAAAACAAGTGTTACACAATAAAGTGTTGCAAAATGTCGATTTTGTTGTAGTGTCACCAAATATGTAATATAAGATATCATTCAACCAAACAACTTAATGTAACATTCCCATAAGCGTAACCAAACACAAATGGGCTATACATTAATCACATTCCCATCTATCTAACATACCCAGTAATCTAACATTCCCATGGTAATCTGACATTCCTTGAACCAAACATACCCTGGTGTACTGATATAAGCCATGTGTTTCGTTGCCAACTACTCAACAAACATTCCAACCCCATAAATGTCTCATAGTTCAAATATATAAGAATAGCGACGACATATAAGAACTCTATTAATTTGATGCTCTTATAGCAAATTGAGCACGAACGTATTTTTATTTTTATGGAGTGTGTATTACGTAGTATAAATTAAAATCTTATTTTAAATATATAAAGAATTAAAGATTGTTAATAGGTTATTAGAGTCATTGAAACTCAAACTATTTCAAGATTTGAAATACATAGAAATTTATAAGCTACATAAGTAACGTATTGTTAGACATTCAAAGTAAAACTAACGTGTTATTAGATTTTTTTAGTGAGTATTTGGGGGATAAATTCTATATCGGGTTAACAGGATTTGTCAATTTTTATTTTCAATTTTTTGACTTTTGATTTTTCTTAACATGCCAAGTAAACAGGTTTGGCCTGTTTAGGCAAAAGTTTTGCCTGGTCTAACCTCTTTCCACCCGGCCTTTATACAATACCCCCACCTGTTTTTGTTTTTGTTTTAAATGAGGGCAACTATTTTTCGTAAATACGGAGTATGTATTTGTCTTTACAAGTCCACCTTGTGAATTGAAGTAGTGTGAAGTCTTTTTCGGTTCAATCTGTATACAAAAATGAAACGCGTGGACGCATGTATGCACTATACCGGGCAGCGAGCATGAATTGAAGTTTAATTTAACATCTTCGATCTTAAGATGTTATAAATACATTATTAAATTAATGTAGATTCTATGGTGTCCATAAAGTATCATACCTTTGTCAACATGGACCAATGAGAATATAGCAGTTGAATTATTTAAATCTAAATAAAAAATGATAAAGTGATGTGGTCCAATCTAATAAATAATAGTTACGGTACCCCATATTTTGGAAATGTATCGGAGTAAAATGTACTCAACCGACGGCCCGGCCACCACCCAATATTATCTACTCCCTCCGTCCCCCTAAGTTTGGGACGGAGGGGTGTGGTGTGGTTTTTAAGAAAAAGTGGAATTGTGTGGTTGGTATTGAATTGATAAAGTGTAAATAAAGTAAGAATGAATTCTAACCACTCAAATGTTACCAAATATGGTATGGGACAAACTTAGTGGGACGGATGAAAAAGGTAAAACGGGACAAACTTAAGGGGACGGAAGGAGTAATTATATACGAAGAATTTGCACATAGCGTAGCTAGCTAGTTAGCTACGAGATCGATCCAAGAGAACATATATATATATATATATAGTTCCATCCATCTGCTATCGATCATAGCCGGCCGGCCATAATGGGATCGCTGAAACTAAAACCGGATAGCCTGCCGCCGCGGCACGAGGACCTGAAGGTCACAGTCCTCGACTCCGGTCTCATCTTTCCGCCGGAAGAAACCGAGAAACGGTCCATGTTCTTGTCCAACATAGACATAGTCCTCAATTTCGACGTGCAGACCGTTCACTTCTTCTCGGCGAACCCGGGCTTCGCGCCGGAGATGGCAGCCGAGCTGATCAAGAATGCGCTGCGGCGGCTGTTGCTCCCTTACGACTTTTTGGCCGGAAGGCTTAAGAAGAACCCAGAGTCGTCGGGGCGGCTGGAGATCGACTGCAACGGCGCCGGCGCCGGCTTTGTGCGGGCTTCAAGTCAGTTCGCGCTCCAGGATGTGGGCGACTTGGTGTATCCCAACCCCGCTTTCCGCCAACTCGTCACGTCCACCTTCGATTTCTTGGGGAAACACGATCAACCGCTCTGCATCGTCCAGGTCAGGCGCAAATCGGTTTACGGTTCAGTTTTCTTTCATTTCAGTTCGGTTTCGGTTTATTCGGTTCGAGAGAATTTGTACCAAACTAAAACCATTTGAGTTTCAGTTCGGTTTCGGTTTACCAAAGTAAAAATAAAATTATTAGGTTCAATTTAGTTCAATTTGATTCGGTTTCTTATGTTTTTTTATTTTATTTGATCAAGTTTTATACTACTCCGTAGTATTTTAGAATTACAAAATGAAAATACTAGTTCATCTCATCTTCTTGTATTTATTATTTAAATAAAAGACAGAAAAAGAAATAATAAAAAATATTATTTCGCACGCTGATTTATCTAATATATTAACACATAATTTATCTTACGAACACTGATGACATTAAAACGTCTAACACCTTTTCGATCACTAGAAAAAAGATTCACTTCACACAAAAAGTTATACTACGTAGTTGATTAGCATTTATAATACTACGTATCATATAAAATATTCAAATAAAACTAAATGAGTCAAATGTACAAATGTTCTAATATTCACAAATTTATTCAAATGAATCATGTAAAAAATATAAATACAATATACTATTTGTATTGCCAAACTTCTTTTCATACAGGTAGAGTACAAAACATAACAAATACAAATATTTCGTATTAGCTAATTTTGTCATAATGAATGTAGGAAATGTGTGTGTATATATATTACAAGTAGTTCGGTGTTCGGTTCGGTTTACGGTTTTTTGGTTTTAAACCAAACCAAACGATTCGGTTTGGGCAAATCCTTATCAAACGGTTTACTTAAGTAAATCCAAACCAAACCAAACCAACAATTTTCGGTTTGGTTCGGTTTGGTTAAACCAAACCATTTTGCCCAGCCCTAGTACTCCAGGTACGTATACTTCACTACACGCGCTTAAGACTAATACTACAAGTGGGCTAGCTAGAAATGATAGGTTAGGGGCCGGAGCTTACAGAATTTATATCGGGGGCAAAGCTTAAAATTTCAATATATGTTTTACTACTTATAAATATTTATACATACATATATACAAAAGAAATTTTTTTCTGTCCACCCCGAATACTAGGTTAAAACAATTGCTAAATACATCAGAAACTTTTTCCTGTCCGTCTCATTTGAACCTTTACACTTCCTATTTTGAGACGTCCTATTTTACATTTTTTTGCCAACTCATTTTACAATAATTGTCCTAATTATCCTCACCAACTTTTTACATTTAGTCGGATATCATTAATTACCCCAAAAAGTCAAAAGATATGAAAGATATTTGTTATTCTATTAATTGATCTCCTAAAGTATCGTGCCAAAAGAAAACATCAAGATTTTACCGGGACGTAGGAAATATCAAATTCTGCCAATTAAAAAATTCCATAAACATTGATGTTCTAGCTAGAGATCATACTAACTTTTAACTAATGAGTTATGGATTTTTTCAAAGGGAAAATTTCCTAAATAGGAGTAAAAAAGTTTTGAAATTTTAAAATAGGACTACCGTACTTTTGTTTCTAAATAGATGTAATTTCTGTGTAGTTTGACATTTCGAAGCTTTAAACATGGTTGTTTTTTCCAAACTAGACATAAATTACTTCTATTTAGGAAATAAAAACATGAGAATTCTATTTTGAAACTTCAATTCGTTTTTATGCATATTCAGGGCAATTTCTATCATTTTTTCTTCCATGCTTTACATGGAACTATACCTTGCCATAGAAAGATACTTCTTTTTTAGTTGCAACGGTCAACATTTCACACTTGCTAACGCACATCTTTGACCGTAATTATATCTTATTTACTTATAACCATTAAAAAAGATTCATCTCAATCTTTTAACAACACACCCAACTAAAAATTATGAAACTGATCTCAATTCTAACCAGAGTAGCATGCATGCAGCATGCATATTGCGTGATACAATGACATGTCTACGAATAACTATTACTATATGCTATTCATACGAGACAAATATAATAGAGTAACGATCGTGTCAGGTATTTTTGACAGGAACTGCCGTCCGAACATGTCAATTTGAGGTGCGCCGGTAGATTTTTTAAATAAAATTTTGTGAGCATGTTCATCACGTAAATTATGTTCACAAAATTTCAAGTTAAGACTTAATCGATAAGATAGTAAAATAAATTGTTGAAAAAAATGGGCCAAAATGTATATAAAAACGTGATGTTTTTCAATAATTTATTTAACTAATTTCTCGATTGAATTTTAAATTGAAATTTTGTGAACATAATCTACATTTTAGGAAAAACATATTGAAAATCTCATCAAAATATTTCACAAGACATCATACACCTCAAATACACAAGTTTGAATTTTATGATAAGTTTTCTTCCACTCATAAA